GCCCTGTTCACATCTGATCGTTTTGTCGCAATAAGCAAAACGCCTGTCGCTGGAAAAAGTACAGGAGCTTTTTTGGAGGGATATTACAGCTCGAGACCACAATCTTTTTCTGCAGCCCCAGCACTAAATGAACAGGATGCCTCTATACTGAGTGTCCCTGTCCATTCATAAACTGAGGAAATAGTATCAGTTACCATGTCCACAATCAGGAAGGAACAAGAAGTGATGTAGACTGTAGAGCACTTCCTATTCATTCATAATTGGGCACTCAATAACTAAATATTATGTTCTCAGTTAGTTACAAACATTGGGGTGATCAGAACTGAGCACACCAATATTTGAGTAGTACATGAAAGGATCAGCAAATATTTCACATATGTGCTGATCCTTCCCACTCTCCATCCTGAACAGTTCCTCCCATGCCGCCGCTCTCCTGCGATTGGTTCTGGATGGGCTCTGTGTCCTCTCCGATCCCCACTGCCTCTACCGCCACAGGTGGGGGAGAGCAGCGGGGATCGGAGGGGACACAAACCGAAGCTTGCAGTCGGTGCCCAGCGGGGAGGAGAAAAGCTGGGAATGCACCGCATTTTGCTCTTTTTTTTTACTATCGGCATTTTGCTCATAGTACCATTTTCAGACAAAATGTTTCAGCAGCCAAAATTTCGGTGCATAAAGTGAAACAACTTTATTTACCGCCTCCACAATGCCGCTGCCTGTGTTGCCTGTGTCTAACTTCTGCATACTGAGACTCCTCCCTTTCCATGGCATGACACAGGAAGGTGAGAAGTCGATCAGACACAGAAGTTAGACAGCGGCAGCATGGGCAGCGGCATTATGGAAGAGGCAAATTACGCTGCCTCGCTGGCTCGAGTGATTACCGGTACACTGTCAGCCCCGCCGCCTCAGCTCTCACACACACATCACCCTGCGGGAGCCGCTGGACCTGGGGGGAATATTCCGTTCATAAGACGCACAGACATTTTTGCCTTTTGGGGGGGGAAAAGTGTGTCTTATGGAGCGAAAAATACGGTGTATATATATAACCTGGACTAATATGGCTTACCTATTTATATTACACTATACACACACACACACTTTAACATGTATATGAGTTATTAGTGATTGGGCAGCTAAGATGAAGAGTTTTATGTTACATCAAATAACTGAAAGCCAGGTCACTAAGACTGAAGAAACTATAAGAATTATATAGTGAATTCACACTGCCCTGAGTAACTTGGAGCGTGTGTGGGTGAATGGGCCCATGTAGTTTCCCTTTCACACTAAACTGCAATGCATAGATGTAAACAAGCTACATAGAAAATAAATGGATTTCTACTTCTAAGGTATTTTCATGCAGCAAAATGCATGAAAGTTCTGCTGCATGAAAACAGACAAATGTAAATATAAGCTCCAATTATCAATAACTGAATCACATTAACGTAACGATCAGTGTGGAGCTAAAATATTTCCAATGCACAAACCTGGTCCAGATTGGAGAGACTGTTGGGATCTTGGCTCAGGCCCTGATACTGGCCTCGGAGCCGGTCTCCTGCAGCAATTTTCCTGAACTTCTTCAAGTCCACTACATATAAAGCACTAGAAGAAAGCAGAATGCATGCATAAACACCTCAGTATTTCTCGACACACAAATACGGACCCCATGCAAATATATAAAAACAAACTATATACACCTTTAAATTAAACATCCAATCAGCTTTTGTGGTTTTAGAAATCTGTCTCTATATTTATTTGCGGTATTCCAGCTGAAATCAGACAGTACAAGTGCCTGCAAGGGAGATGCACTTAGCTGGGCTTACAGGAAGAGACATATCAGGGTGGTAATGATGTTTGCTTGTAATCCAAAGAGCGGGCATGATACAGAGTGCCATGGAGTTGTGCTTATGCTATGCGGCAGTACAAAGATAGATAGGATAGCATTTCCTTTCATCTAAAAAAGCTTTTAGCAAATTACCAGTTACACTGTTTACTTGGTGAACCCTTTCAGAGTGAACCTCTTAGACATTTGTAAAAGTAAAACTTCTGCCACAAGTTACAAAGGGCTTGGAGTCCCTGACTTCATAGGTAGGCCCTTCCCACCTATCCCCACCCCCCATCCAAGCACCATTATTAGGTGGGCTCTTCCCACTTATCCCACACCCCCACCCCATCCAAGCACCCTTATTAGGTGGGCCCTTCCCCCCTATCCCCAACCACCCCCACCCAAGCACCCTTAATTGGTCACTAAAGCACTCTTATTAAAAGATTTGTAAAGACATGACTCCAATTTTCCATCAAACATCGCTCTCCCCCCCTCTAGAGCATGTTACAGTATTCTTTTTTATCTTGTTCTTGTAGTAAGAAGCAGTTTTTATGTGTGACATCATCACCCGGTTTGAATTCTTGCAGCTGCAGGGTGCCGAAGGTAAGTTCATAGCGATGTAGGCACACCCCAGAACTAAATCTCCCAAGAGCCCTTTCCCCAAACACAATGTGTAGGCAGGCTGTTTAAAGTCAAGGCAGCAGCAATGTTTTCTGGGAAAGAGATCAATGTATGCATGTGGAGAGGGGCGGCACAGGTGATGTTCTGTAGTCTTAGCAGGCAGGGTTGAGATTGCTGAGTGGGATTTCAGTGCAGTAGAGGTCGTATTATCAGCCAACAGAAAGAAGGTAAGAGATCACTGGATTTCTGACAGGATCACATGGTATTTTTTTGTACCGGAAGCATTTGTAAAGGGATGGGGAAACGTACATGTATTGCACAAAGGTACTGCATAGGTTTTTATTTTTATTTTGCCCATTATATATATATTTGTTATATAAACATGTTGATGGCAGGTAGGGAGACTTAGTCCCAAAGACACACATGACAAGCTCAAGAAAAGAAACCATTTTCACAAAAAGATGGCTAACAAAGCAATTGCAGGCACCACATGCTACCTTGCCCATAGACAGAACTTTTACTAAAAGCCTAAAATGTCTGACAGGTTATCCTTAAAGTGTATTTACACTTTTGCAGCCAATTGAGACAACACCAATGTTGTATTTGTTATATGTTCCTATTCACAGCAAAACATTTACATTGTATGTTATTGCACTTTAAAAAAAAAACCTGTCCCTCAGTCTGTCCCTCATCTGCACACTGCCATCTATTCTAAGCAATATAATCAGCCTATGGTGTCTTTTGTATAAACCTGCTCCAAAGAAACAACTACAAAATAAATATTTGTAAACAATGATTTTCTATGGATGCAGTGTGAAAGGGAACACACAACAGATATATAGTGGGGGTGTCTCGTATTTGACTTGGAAAGTGGAAATACGCTTTAACCCCTTCATGACTAAGGCCTTTTTTTCATTTTTTGTACCCATGTTATATTCCACATTTTAGGCCTGAAAATTACTTAAAACCCCCCAACATTATATATTTTCTGAATGCCAAGACCCTATAGAATAAAATGGTGGTAGTTGCAAATTTTTATGTTGCGCAATATTAGCGCAACTCCTTATTAAACCCCAATATTTAGTGAAAAATTTAATTAAATGCCCCAAAACACAACAAAATACCCATTTTTTAAATGAAATATAAAAGATGAGGTTACAACGAGTAAAACGATACCCAACATGCCCAGGTTACAGAATACATTTTGGTAAACATACGCATTACAGTGCTCTGGGCAGGACATTGGGTTAAATGAAAGCTTTTATGGAATATGGTTACCTGATGTGGTATTTCCGCCCTGCCAAGTGACTGGCCCAGTAACCAGACTTCCAGAAGCGGTATCCATCCATCTCTTTACGGCTCTCACAGAAAGGGGTGTATCCATATGGGGCACCGTCCAGATTGAAATCCCTTAAATCTTTGAGATCAGTTCGGACAATCTATTGGAGAAATAACAGAGGATTTGAACAATGACACAATGCAGCTTTTTTTACATTATTTTACAGTTTATCAAGAATATAATAGTTTGCTATTCTAAAATGCAAACATAAAGGTTCATGCACATAATTATGCTTCATTTTCAACGTATATGATTTGAGATAGGGATTACGGTGCAGTAGTTAATCCCCAAGTAAGAGTTTGGTGGAGGGTTTACACATTCCATTGTTCCATAAACTCTCACTGGGGTCTCTGTCTGCCCTGAACCCCCATACAATAAGATAATATGAATGGTAATACAGCACTAGAGGCTGAGGAAGTCACAGATTTCTTCTACAATTAGGTACAGCATTAGATTTATATTTGGGAGTAACCTGTCTGCTTCTTATAACAAGTTAAAAGCATATTAAGACACATATAAAGGCCATATCAAATACCGTAAACACACATTTCCCCCGGCCTTTTGGGGGGAAAAAAGTGTGTCTTATGGAGCGAAAAATACGGTAGTCAAAACACAGCAGTTATAGGGGTGTGGTGCCACTCACTTTCACTTACCTAGCACCTCCCTACCTACTGTTATACTAGGTAGCACTCTTGTCTTGAACCATTGGGTCTTGGGTTGAATCCCACCAGGAACACTGCATGAAGTTTGTATGTTGTCAGCATTATATGGGTTTTTTAGGTGCTCTGGTCTTTTATCAAAATTCAAAAAGCATATTGATAGATTTAGAGGTAGTCCCCAAAACTGCCAATAGCGTGCTTCTGAGCATGGCAGGGACATTTGATTCTGACCTTTGGAGGAAATGAACTGACATTAATAGATATATGTGGATCCTCAAATCATCTCTGAATTGGTGCTGACACTGTCCTTCCTTCTGGAGGGTGGCTACTTTTGTTACCCATGGTCCCTGTGTGTTGTAAAGTAGCCACCGCTCCAAGCTCACTCCTGTGATGGACTACAATCTCATGTTTAGTTAGCTAATCTGTATTGAGATAGTAGTTCATCATGGGAGCGATCTTGGAGCTATGGCTACTTTACAACACACACAGGGACCATGGGGAACAAAAGTAGCCACCCTCCAGAAGGAAGGACAGTGTCGGCACCAATTGAGATGATTTGAGGATCTACAGCCGAGTGATACACAAAAAAGATACATATTTGTTAAAAGTTAAGGTACATGAATGTATTTTTTAGATTTAACTCCTGAGTTTAGTGTCACTTTAAGTATTGTTGAAAGTTTTGTCATTAAAACTTGTCTCCGTCAGGCCATGATTGAACAAAGACAGACAGGCTGATCACTCTGTATAACTTATCTTGTCATGAAGGGGATACGTACAGTAGGTCCAAGTATACAGTATTGACAAAAGGGTACCTGCTCTAAAGTTAAATGCTGGTACTTAAAGGTGACTGTTCATATCTTTATCTATCTTCCAAAGTGCCTCAGGAGCCCTAGAACCTAGGTACTGGGAAGTCTAACTCTGATCCACCACAAATTCCATTGAAGGAGGATGAAATGTGAAGGTAGACATTTGTAGACTGAGCACCTTGGATTTTAGGGGCCTCCTGGGTTGTCTGGATGATCACTGTCAAGGTGCATCCGGCACCACTAAGTACATGCATGTAACTACTTTTCTTTATCTACTAGCCAACACTTCACAAGTTCAATTTCTTTTTAATGTAAGATGTATATAACCTCAGTTTTAAATACCTGGTCAGCGTCTACAAAGAGGAATTTATCCACAGCCAGTGGGAAAAGCACATCCAAGAAGAGGATTTTATATCCCCAAATAATTCTCTGTTTCTCCGTCTGCTGATGTAGCCATCGGGGCCACTTATACTGGACCAGCTCATACTGGAAGTTGTACTGCTTTGCCATGTAAGGGATGAAGTTCTGGAAGAGTTAAAACAACACAGGCAGATTAGTAGAAAATCAGTCCCAGAAATCCAGTTATTACTGTACAATAACTGCCACAGCAGGAGATTGTTTACATAAACGGCAAGGAATAATTATTTCCTGTGGCACTAAGAAGCAGAAAGTGGCGTGGTCATTTTAACATGAAATAATGACATTTAACAAAGCAGCAGTCTAGTCCTATAAATACATATTAATAACCTTGCATGCAGCTGACACTTCCCTATGGTGCAAAATCCAAGGGAGCCCTATGTAGACCAGCTTAAAATAAAGCTCCATTTGTTAGAAATTACACAGTCTAATTCCCCTTTTCAAGTAAATTTAACAGGGATAACAGGAAGGATTTGGCAGGCTTCAAGTGGAAATGTTCAAGAAATAACTCTTCTCTAGTTTGTTTCACTAGAAAATTATCAGCCAACTACCTCATCACTACGTGCTCTTCAAGTGGAATAGAGCCGGGAAGGGGGAGATTTTCTCCATGGATTTTAAGTGTTTGTATCAACAATAATTACCATTTACTTCCACGTGACTTGTCATCAAGGTAGGAAGTGAGGGCAACTTTTCTTGAACAGGGAAAGAGGTACAGATGAAAATCAAACTAAGGTTCTTATCTATGTCCAAGTTATGGCTGGAGTTCTAGTTTAACCACTTGCTGACCGGGGTGTTAAACCCCCTTCCCATCCAGGCCATTTTTCAGTATTCAGCGCTGCGGTACTTTGACTGACATTTATTCCGTCATGCAACGCTGTACGGAAATTAATTTTATACCATTTTTGGGGACAGATAGAGCTTTCTTTTGGTGGTATTTAATCACCACTGGGGTTTTTATTTTTTTAACTATATTTAAGAAACTTTACTGAAAATTTTGAAAAAATAAACAGTTTCTCGTATTTTAAATTATGAAACATTTATTACTATTTTTTTGGGGTAAAATATAAAATAAGTCAGGTAAAAAGACATCATACATGTCAAGCCTTAAAATTGTGCACGCCCCCGATACCGCAAAAAACTACAATACCCAAAATTGGCCATAGGCGACGCTTTAAAAGCTTTTAACGCTTATCAGTTTAGTGTTATCAGTGATTAACAGCCCTAAAATTATTGCTCGCACTCTGAAATTTGCGGCGATATGTAACATGTGCAGCGCAATTGTCATTTTTACGCCTTGGCTCACCCAACGCGTGTTTACGTCTATATGTGCGTATTCGTGGGGTATACGTTTTTACACTTAATGTTATTGCTTTCTCATAGAGGGATAACAATCCCCCTGTGTGACAGCACCGGCACATTGACAGGTCCTCTTTATGGAGACATTAGGGACCCCTAATGTCAACTGGGGACCCCCAAAGAAGGTGATGAAGCAGAGATCTGCTTCACCAGCTTCTTCTCTGGCTATAACAGCCAGAGAAATGAGAGCTGAATGCGGAAGTGATGTGATACACACCACTTCTGCATTCAGATGTCGGAGAGGAGTTCAGCGAGGAGGAAGATGCTGATCTCTCTCCCATCCTCCTGCTGACACAAGCCCGAGTCGGTCCCGGCCAGCAGAGGGGACAACAGAGCCCGGTATGAAAGGTAACGGCGGTGAAGGGGGGGGGGGTCGCACGAGAAGAAAAATAAAAAGCTATATATTTACGGCGCCCCGCTAATAGGAGCTTGCCGTCCATCCATTTCTTTTACAACGGGAGGATGGCTAGTGGTTAACCACTTGCTGGTCAGAGCAATTTCTTACTATTTGCACACACATGATAAAATCTGAATTTTTGGCTCGAAAACAGCTTCAGACCCCCAAACAATGATATATTTTCGGAAAGCGGAGGCCCTGTAGAATTAAAAAAAAAGCAATTTTGTATGTCGCAGATTATTTTCGCAAATGTTTATTAAACCAGTATTTTTAGGATAAAATACAGTAGACTTAAATTTAGTGCACAGAATCAGAATTTAATACCCATTTTTTTGTAAAATATAAAAGACGGGATCACGCCGGGTAAATAGATACCAAACATGTCAAGCCTTAAAATTGCGTGTGTCTGTGAAACCGCACAAAACGGCCATACCCACTATTTCCCATAGGCGACCATTTAAATGCTTTTATTGCTCATCATTTTAGTGTTACCAGTGATTGATGGCCCTAGAATTATTGCTCTCACTCCAATGTTTGCGACTATATGTAACATGTGTGGCGCAATTTTAGTTTTTGCACGTATGTGCATGCACATGGGGTCGGGGGACTTTATTAATTTATTTTTGCATTTTTATATGATACTTTCATTTTTTTTAATTTATACTCAACTTTATTGCTATCACATAGGGTGCTAAGAAGCCGCCTATGTAACAGCAAATATAATGGGACAGGTCCTCTTTATGGACCGACCCCTAATGTCACCTAGGGACCCCAAAGAAGCTGAGGAAGCAGATATCTGCTTCCCCAGCGTCTTCTCCTGGCTCTAGGAGCCGGAGAATGTACACAGTGACACAGTAGTACACATCACTTCCGGTCCAGTGATCGGAGGAGAGATCAGCGGCTACCTAAGTCTCACCTTATGGCCCTGCCTAAGGCTCACCACTCTGTGGCCCATCTCAAGCCTTCATCCAGGTTAAACCAGCTGTTGTTCAACCCACTTTTTGTGAGTGTAGCCCTCCCCCTGGGAGCGAGTCATCATAGAGCCCTGCACTCACAATACAATGATGCAGAAAATGGTTCTGACGTCACTACATCAGCTACGCTTGCTGCATCACTGAGGATCACAGAGCCCCAGAAAAGAGGTAAAGGGGATCCTATGTACCATGAAAATGGACAGAAGGCATTTGAAAAAAGGCAAGCACATTGAAAATCCTCAAAAAATACATGTGGCGGGGGGGGGTCTGGAGTTGGGCTTGAGTCAGTCTACCCCAGCCTTTCTTAACCAGGGTGTCCTCTAGGATCCTCAGGGGTGTCATGTAAAAATAGCCAAAAATGTCAACAAACCAGCCAGTGGATCAAAGGTGATAACTGTTTTGTTTTTTTTGTGATGCAAGATGCTGATTCCAGCATACCAGATACCAGACCACCATCTAGTGTAAGGTTCTGAAATAGATTTTGGGTGAAACGCGTGATATTTTTACATTTTTGTTAACTTTTTTTTTTATTCAAACTGGGGTGCCTCGAGATTTTTTTAAAGGGTGCGGTGATTGAAAAAAAAGGTTGTGAAATGCTGGTCTACCTAAACCCCATCTTCTCAGTATTGGATGGATGTTACAGCGAATTATACTTAAATAAAAAATTCAGCTTCAAGAAAACATTTGCTAACCTTACAGCTTGCGTTTTTAGGCCTTACATAGTAATGGCATTCTCAGTTACCAGTCAGAGTCCACAAGCAATAATAATATGCAAATCTCTGCAGTTAGGATTCCCCTCCTGCTATTTTTATTTGCATCCTGAAACTCGACCTTGATGCGTCTTTAGATCTAAGCAGTGGGCTAAAAACAACAATAAAATAATCCCAAACATCACCCAACAGTACAAACCTTAAAAGTAGGAGATAAATAATTCTTCAAAAACCAAAACTTCACTGGGGTCTGTGTGTTTTTCAGTACGGATAACATCATTATTCTGTGAGGAAGAAACAGGAATTTACTTTGGTGTTACAAAATGAAGTCTAAACATAAACCTCAGCAAAGTGAAGATTCACAGTAAAGCCAAATTTCAGGATGCCCCTCCTCAATTTTCTTTTTCCATTTTTTAAAATGTTATATTCATAACTTTTTTGCCCATGGGTCTTTTGGTGAGACGTGACAGGTCCTCTGGTGTTGGATAGGCCATGAATTTTGCAGAGAACAGTGCCATGTAATGACATGCCGCTCGCTGCAGCATTCTCCTGTAAAGTGAGAGGAGCTTGGAGCCATACCCTTAGGAAGGACGTCCATGATGCCTTAGGATCACAGGAAATAGGCTGAATGACACTGGGCATCATTCAACCTGGAAAAGGTCCGGCATTGGATTGCATAGCGGTTAGAAGATTAGTATTGATTAAGTTGAGCTTCAAGCAGTCCTAGGTTCTCACAGTGATCTCTGCAAATGAAAGGCTTTGCATTTCCTAACAGCATAACAGTTTCACTCACCTGAGAAATCGCTCATATAAGTGTCCAGAGGCCAAAGAAAAGATATTAATTATGTCTTCTTTATCTTGTTTCACTTCTTCTTGTTTCTGACCTCCAGTTATTCCCCTAGTGAATAATAAATCATATATATATAGGTCCGATCAGTACTATGAATCATTCATAGATTAGAAGTATAATAGGATATATCTCATCTAACCTGTCACAAGTCCTACATGGAAGATGAGGAAACTCTAATAATTTGGGGCAATAAGGATAATGTAAAAGGAGTAAACTAAGTGTAAACAAGCAAAAGTAAAAGCTTCATTCAAATGCTAATAGTATGTGCGTTCTGATAAATCAGCTGAAGGTGCCCAGGCCTGCTGGGATGTGTCTTACTCCTGAATGACATCCAATGCATAAAATGATAGGCTGCAACACCACTACTTTTTTTTTTAGTGCAATAAGCGTTATTCTTCTCTGAGCTATAACATCCCACCGGAAAGAGGCTACTCCCAAACTAATTTCACCCTGGCGCAGGGCTTAGTTATAGGTGAAATACATCACAGGAGAAGCTTGTGTCTGGCAGGAAGTTGTTGTATAGAGAAGAATAAAGCTTATTGGCTATAGCGGTGAAGCAGCCAATTGTTTATGCATAGGATTTAATTCAATGTATTTTAAATGGAATTTTGCAGCCTAAGGCCTCATTCACAAGAGAAAAGGTCGGCACGTACAGCTCCGTGCTGCTTGCACTGCCGTATCTGGCAGCTCCCGGGAAGGACAAGCGCTGCGTGTGATTAGTACGCAGCCCCTGTCCTTCTCTAAGGGAATAGGCGGCGTACGCCCACCTCAAGTGCAGGTCCGTACGGGTGCGGGTGTCCCGGACGCTGACAGGATCTATCCTTTCAGCGTACGAGTACGGACACCCGCAAGGACTTGCAGGGCGGGTGAGCGTAGGGCCGCGTACTCCCATAGAAAAGGACAGGGGTTGCGTACTAATCATAAGCAGCACCTGTCCTTCCCGAGAGCTGCCAGATACGGCCGTGCACGCAGCACAGACCTGTACGTGCCGGTATTTTCTCGTGTGAATGAGGCCTTATTCTCACTTCTCTACGTTAAAGTGACACTAAACTCACAAGTTAAACATTAAAAATACATTCAAATACCTTAACTATTAACAAAAATGTATCTTATTTGTGTATCACTCGGCTGTAGATCCTCAAACCATCTCTGAATTGGTGCTGACACTGTCCTTCCATTTGGTACTTGCAAAGTAGCCACCACTACAAGCTCACTCCCGTGATGGACTACAAGCGCAATACAAAATAGTAAACTAAACTGTAAACATCAGAATGTTTGTTTGGGACAGTCTACCCATTCATGAGCAATTATTGAGCATATACTGTACATTAAACTTTTGACTTCTGTTTTAGAGGGCTTCACATTAGACAGATGTTTATTCAAGCCAAAAATAGCTCACCCAAGCCAAAAACAGCTTCCCCTGCTTTACAGAAGAAAAATGACAGCTGGGAAATGCCCAGCTATGCATTTTATTGCCTCCCAGTTTTGATACATGGACCAGTTTTGTGGTATTTTGATTTGATATGACACAATATCACTCCGGTGGGATGAAAAAGGAAAATGATAACCGGTCCTGACAGAAAATTACCATTTGATGGATTCCCAGAAGCCCGAGTCATTTTCATTAGACCCTTCACTTAATAGGTCTTCAGTCATCTTGTCTGCCTTCTTCTGAACCTGAAAAAAAAATGGTGCTTAACCTTTCATTTCTATTTACATAAATAGAAGGCAACAAACTTATGTGATGCTAGGGGCCCATTTAGTACTTTTGTCATAGTGACTTGATAAAATACCCTAATACAGGCCTCAAAATTTCCACTCACCCCCTTGCAATTGGCGAGTGAAAATTGCGTGGGGGCGAATGGAATCTCATTGAGGTGCGCCGCCAGCGGGACCAGAGATGGGACGCTACCGCCGCAGCGATTGCTCGCTTCTGTTCTCTCTTCTCATCGGCCGCTGCAGCTACAGAGCGACAGAGGAGAGCAGAAGCGAAAGATCACCGCAGCAGTAGTGCCCCATCTTTGGTCCCGCCGGGCGCGCATCTCGATGACATTCAGTTCCGCTGTCTTCTGCAGCTTCCTCCGCCCACCTCAGCTGCCAGGCTGGGAGGAAGACAGCAGAGACAGTGAGACCGGCCATCCAGAAAGTTATGCAGCAGGGCGAAAAGAGGATACATGGAGGATCTCTGCACCGCCCCCCACCACGAGAAAGAAGAGGCACCTGAATAACAGCTAAGTGCACTGCAAGTCCCTTTTCTTTCTTCCATGCGCTGTGCGTCACACTGACCTCTGCGCTGTGCGTCACACTGATCCTGCACTGTTTGTCACCCTGACTTCTGCACTGTGCATTACATTACTGATCTCTGTACTGCTGACTTCTGTACTGTGCGTCACACCGCTGACCTGGCGGAGTTAAGGCCGGTGCAGGGTAGGGGTTAGGTGGGCAACTGGTGGCGAGTAACTTTTAAGGCCTGGCTAGTAGCTTAGGACTTGAAATTTTGAGCCCTGCCCTAATACATTCTCAATACATACCCAGCTAAACCAGTAAAACTGGGTGCTTGTAAGGCTAGTTGTTTCTGCACATAAATATCCAGTAAGTTTGAAGCCTTGAAACCTAGGCTGTTAACCCATGAAACCCATGATTAAAGCTTCTGATATCATTCTTGGGCCTTCTGCCTTTAAGGGCTAGTTCACACCAGCCTCAGTGCGTTCCGGCCCGATTCTGTCTGGATAGGCACTGGATCGCATTGCGGCTGCCTCACTTTGTTTTAGGGCGGGAGGGGGTGTGGCGGTGCATTGAACTCAATGGCACCACAGCCACTCCCTCCGGCCACAAAGCGATCGGCTGCACTGCAACGCGTGGCACATCAGTGCCTGCGTTCCGCTCAGGTGCAGTCAGAAAAAATAGTGCATGCACTGTGGGGTTACTAGCTTTCCCTGCTTTACAGAAGAGAAAATGGGGCTGGACAAAGCAATTTATTTCAAAATGAAAAACGCTTTCTTCCTAACTTTCAGCGGTGGTAACTGTTACATGCCAGACATCATGACATTTGTCATGATGTGGTCTACAAAAGACAGACGTGTGTGTGTTTGCTTTCCATACAAACAAACCAAGGTGTATATTCCTTTAAAACAACAATATAAGCCAATATAAGAATTGGTTACTATCACTGGACAGGAAATCAATTGTGTGTTGGAAATATCTCTCCCCACTAAGCCACCTCAGTTTTAAAGTGACACTAAACTTAAGCGCTGAATCTTAAAAATGCTTTCAAGTACCCTTACTATAAAGGAAAATAAATCTTATTTGTGTATCACTCGGCTGTAGATCCTCAAATCATCTCTGATGCCGACACTGTCCTTCCTTCTGGAGGGTGGCTACATTTGTTCCCCATGGTCCATATGTGTGTTATAAAGTAGCCACCGCGCCAAGCTCACTCCTGCGACAGACCACAATCTTAATACAAATTAGTAAACTAAAGGTAAGATTGTAGTCCATCATGGGAGCGAGCTTGGAGTGGTGACTACTTTACAAGACACACACAGGGACCAAGGGCAACAAAAGTAGCCCCCTCCAGAAGGAAGGACAGTGTCAGCACCAGATTTAGCTCCTAAGTTTAGTGCCACTTTAAATATATCCTTGTTATCATAATCACCTGCGTCTTTTACTTATATTTTAAGCTGTTTCACATAAACAAATATGAGATGTTCTTTGGGTTTAGTGACTCTAGAATCAGGAATCACAGTATAAAAAATGGGTGGGCAACCTTGGAACTCCAGATGTGCTAAAGTAGCATACCATCATGCCTCTGCCTCTGGGAGTCATGTCTGTGGCTCTCAGTCTTGCAATGCCTCAAAGGACTTATAGTTCCACAACAGCTGAAGTTCCAAGACTGCAAGAACTAGGTAGATTCCAATAATATAATGACATATACTGTATCATGTGTCCAAACCTCCCTTTTGACATAAAGATGCATTTCAGTTAGTTATTTCTGCAACATGCACGGGTCAGTAATTTTAAAATACCTACCATGTGGGAAACTTAAGTTTTCATGACAACTTGGACACGCATACAAAATAATAGGTGAACACATATCTGTGACAAATGTGTTATTTTTCTTAATAACAACCAGAAACAGAAAAACCTGCAAAAACAATAACAGTGCCATCTGGAGGTACAAAGGTAAACTGTACAATCCGATATACGTTTATTCTTACCTTTACTTTGATGGTTTTACTCATAAAATCATCAATCACTACGATCACATCTTTATCCTCTGGAGAAGAGTCTGTGCCATCATGACTACAATTGGCAGGCAGAAAGAAATAATAAGTCTACATTAATTAAAAACAAAATGCCTAAATAAAATAAGTCACTTCTTTACAGCCCAGTATTCCAAAACTTCATTCACACAGGGCAGAGTGGGGCCGTACAGATCCGTGTGTCGTGCACGGCCATATCGGGCTGTTCACGGGAAGGACAGGTGCTGCGTCTGATTGTACGCAACAGCCTATTCTTCCCTATGGGATGATGCGGCCGTACGCTCACCCAAGTTGCACATCCGTGCGGGTGTCCGTACTGGGACGCACACAGGATCCATCCTGTCTGCGTCCGATAACGGACACCTGCACCGATGTGCAGCTCGGGTGAGCGTACGGCCGCAATTAGACGCAGCACCTGTCCTTCCCGGAACGGCCCAATATGGCTGTGCACACCACACGGATCTGTACAGCCCCACTCTTCGCTGTGTGAAAGAGGCCTTAATGTTAGAACATTCCTACCTGTAAATATCATATATATCCTCAGAACGGCCTCTCCTGAGCCGAAGAACCCAGGCTCCAGGGTTAGCTTTTAACTGGAAATAACCCTGTAAACAACAAAAGGTTGGAAATACAATCTCATGCTCAATAATGAATTCCTAAACAATTTCAGGCTTATAACAGCCAATATTTACAATATATCAACCAGTAGGTTTGCAATTCATTGCAAATCAGATCCAAATGGTTTTACACACCGCTGTTCATGAATGAGTACTTTCTTCCAAAGCACAATAAATGATGCACAACTTATGTAGGACACATTCGCAGCAGATGTGTTGGGGCTATGCTTGCTTGTTTTATTTCAGCGCAGCCCCAATGTAAGAGAAGGCAATTTGGGGTATTGCACAACGCTGTGCCCATACAACCTAAAGAAATATCGCATGTGACTTTTTAATATTGTTCTAACAAAAAAAAGGTAAACAGTGCAATGTGTCACGATCAATACAATGTGTTGCAATCAGTGCACTGTGTCGGGAAACGTACACCAGCAGCCGTGTGTTGTAGCGTGGCTGCTGCTGTGACTGGGCCAATAATCTACAAGCATGTGACATGCCACGTACACCAGCAGCCGTGTGTTGTAGCGTGGCTGCTGCTGTGACTACAAGCATGTGACATGCGACGTACACCAACAGCCGTGTGTTGTAGCGTGGCTGCTGCTGTGACTACAAGCATGTGGCGTACACCCGCAGTCGTGTGTTGTAGTGTGGCTGCTGCTGTGACTACAAGCATGTGACATGCAACGTACACCCGCAGCCGTGTGTTGTAGCGTGGCTGCTGTTGTGACTACAAGCATGTGACATGCAATGTACACCCGCAGCCGTGTGTTGTAGCGTGGCTGCTGCTGTGACTACAAGCATGTGACATGCGACGTACACCCGCAGCCGTGTGTTGTAGCGTGGCTGCTGCTGTGACTACAAGCATGTGACATGCCACGTACACCAGCAGCCGTGTGTTGTAGCGTGGCTGCTGCTGTGATTACAAGCATGTGACATGCAACGTACACCAGCAGCCGTGTGTTGTAGCGTGGCTGCTGCTGTGACTACAAGCATGTGACATGCAACGTACACCAGCAGCCGTGTGTTGTAGCGTGGCTGCTGCTGTGACTACAAGCATGTGACATGCGGCGTACACCAGCAGCTGTGTGTTGTAGCGTGGCTGCTGCTGTGACTACAAGCATGTGACATGCAACGTACACCCGCAGCCGTGTGTTGTAGCGTGGCTGCTGCTGTGACTACAGGCATGTAACATGCAACGTACACCCGCAGCCGTGTGTTGTAGCGTGGCTGCTGCTGTGACTACAAGCATGTGACATGCAACGTACACCCGCAGCCGTGTGTTGTAACGTGGCTGCTGGTGTGAATGGGCCATTATATCTACAAGCAGGTGACATTCAAATGCTCAGTCTCAACTCACTAATAATTACTTGGCTCCAACTGCAGAGGAGCATCACAAATACAGTGAGCCCTCTAAAGCCCATATGATATTCAGGTTGTCAAACAGAAACTTACAAGGTTAGCCATGACAATGGTGTCTACTATCACAGGATTGTTTGCTGTTCCCAGAGTAAACTGGAGTCCTCGTGGTGGTTGTCCGGTAGAGATGTCAAAACAGTGGCCCTCCAATAGCAGGTACTCAAGTTCAAACTCAGCAGCTACAATGCTGTCCACCTGGAATAACACAAGACAAAACCAAAGCAAAGAGTCAATAGAAAAGACAGTATATATCCACTACAGCACAGGCACAAAATGTAATGAAGTTCAATAAACCCAGACTCTGCTAAGTGATGGATGGAACGTCACATTAAACATGTGCTGGAGAAATAATGAAGGGAGTCAACTGTTGCAATTGTGCTGCTTCCGGCCATGTTACAAGAAATGGTCATTATTTATTTCTCTTCAGCTCATTGGAGACACCGAAGACCTTCAAAAGTTGATCCTTCTCTATGGGATATAACACTCCTCCACACAATGGATTCCAAGACTATAGCAGAACAGTGAAAGGAAAAAGCCGCAGCAGAACAACAAATAAGAATCATGAGGGTATAAGATAATCCTTCCCCAGAAGCTCTGTCAGACCTAGGAAACCTCAAACCCCAATCCAGAGTCCAACCTCGGAGCTGGCTGTTACAATGCTCCCTCCAGCCTGTCTCCTCCTATATTCCAGCAATGGTATATCCCTCTGCGTTCTCACGTCCAATACACAGTGTATTGGACGTGATGACCTGAGGATCCTTAGACCGCTGCAGCGGAGGGTGAGAGGCGCTGGAAGGACCGGTCTAAGAGCATACCAGCTACGGGGATCGGGTGAGTATATCTTTATTATTTTAGCACCTAGACAGAAATGAGCAGTTAATTTAGGGTGCGGTACCCCATGCTGCAAGGGTTAATAAAAGTTTTGTTTAACTTCTGTCCTGTTGATCACCACTGTCTCTCTCTCTTTTTCTAACTGAAACTATAAAAAGCACATAGGAAAGGAACAATGTTTGTGCTTAGTATGCAAACTCCTATGGACAGTGTTAATACCCCAGAGGTCTCCTGTGTCCCTATAAAGGATAAGAAAAAAACGAATCTTAACTGAATATGTTGTTTCTTTTACAACCCCTTCAATCGCATTAGAGGTCAATATAAAGAACTAACTAAGCAGCTCTTCATCCCTGGAACAATACAAGTGACAAGAGAACATCCACTTAGACTTGAATAGAAAGGATTTCATCACCAGCATAGAAATGAGTTTTTCACTGTTAGAGTGATTAGACTCTCCGATCCTTTACCAACAGAGGTAATGATGTGAATATAAATGTGGGCTGGATGCTTTTCCTACCAGGAATGGCATCTCCAGCTATTACATTCATCAGTGAAATGACTGGCCCAAGGAATTACCGACTGCCATTGATGGGGTCAAGAAGACATTTTGAATCCGCCTGTGCAGATAACTAGGCAGATGTCATCCAGGGGGGCTTCTTTTGCCTTCTTCTGGATAAGGAATACTATAAGAATTAGAGTTCTTAAACGTACAAATACCATACAAAACTGATGTGCACAATGCAGACAGTAATACGCTGGTCTGAACCAACATCCATGAAAAAACCTTCCTCAGAGCTACTGGCATAAGTAATGCATGCATAGTAAAAGCACTTTAAAAGTCAGGGATATGTCAAACAATTTGGTGCCCATCACTGCTGCTGCAAGTTACTGCATTCTTGTCCTGTACATCACTCCATCTTAGCCCCAACTTCCTCCAGTGTTCCACCGTTCATGATAACAAGCACTCCAGAAAGGATTTTGTCAACTTCACCACCTACAGCTGGTCATCACCCACTGAAGAGACCCCGACTCCCATGTAGCCCATAGGAATCTGTTTCCAAATGTTATGCTTCTAGTGCAGGATAAAAGATAATGTCGAACTGAAGCCAAAACGTTTTGTTTCAAGTTTTGGATACCATAAGGGTGGGTCTAACCCATCTTCTTCTCTTGCCATCCGTGTCCCATTTTTTTCCAGTACTCGCCGATACCGAATACCGATACCGGAAGTTCCATTAAGGAAGCCAGGTGGCGTTTAATGGCTAGCCACCTGGCTTCCCGAATTAGCCGGGAAGTCGGGCGGCGTATAAAGACTCGTTACCCGGCTTCCCGATTAGCAGGGAAGCCGCCCCCATGTTTCTCGTCACTAGGTGACCAGAAAGCATGGAGCTGGCGTTCTGGCCAATCAGGAAGCCTGGCGCTGTGTAATGACGCAGCGCCTGGCTTCCTGATTGGCCAGGAAGCCGGCTCCGTGCTCCTTCATTACGAGGTGATTCACACACACGCCATCCGGCTTCCTGATTGGCCAGCTTCCCGACCAATCAGGAAGCCGGGCAGCGAGTCATTACAAGATGCCCAGCTTCCTGATTGGCCGAGAAGCCAGCTCCATGCTCCCTCGTCACCAGTAACAAGGGAGCATGGAGCCGGCTTCCTGGCCAATCAGAAAGCCAGGTAGCGTGTAACTACCGGAAGTATCGGGCTAGGCATCGAAAGTATTTGGGCGAGTACGAGTACTCTGCATCGGCACTGATACCGATACTAGTATCGGTACATCCCTAGTTAAAGCCCCTATCTGTTTTTTTTTTTTTTTTGCTGTTTGTGTCTTGCTGGGGAGATTTCCCTTCACTCCCTATCGTGAAGATGCAACAGGAAGCGAGCGAAGATTGACATACCCATCTTACACAGTTTTTACCAGAACATTTTTCCCCTTGGAAAATTTCCCCTCACCTTTGCCTTCATGACATTTCTGAAATCTAGGATTTCCCCTTACTTTCTGTCATGATGGCAGTGGTCACAAAGACAAACGGCAGGCACACGGACAGTAATAAATAGTTGACACAGGGTCTACTCCTGTCCTACTTTATCCAAACTAAAAGAGAAAAGCCTTTACATACACTGTAACCTTGCCTGCCTGCTGCAGGCAAAACCTTCCCTTTCCATAAAAGAAGCCCAGGTTTAATAACTTGTGACATCAGTTCACTTACAGAATAACATTCAAGTCACCTCGGCCAGATTACCTCTTGTAAGTAAATGTTGTCCAGGTCGTAAGGCGTTCGCACCGCCTCCACCATCCAGCTGTCCGGCGTGCTGTGGCTCAGAGTGAAAAGTGGGGACTGGGGCATATCCAAGAACTTTGCAATAGGGCCAGAAGATAATTTGTGGTCTGTGGTGAACACAAGCTCTGGTTCCAAAACGTAACGGTAGAAACTGGAAAAGTCGGAGAAAAAAGTATTTATTGTCACCACACCGTATAGTCTGTTGCCTGTGGGGTATAAACCACAATGCAAAGTGCAACTGTCCTGAAAACACTGTACTGTTCTCTGAAGTGTGACCGCTGGGTGCTGGGGTAAGGCACATCACTGCTTAAAAAGAGACACTCCTTAAAGGATGCAAAAGTGAGTCTCCTATTCAGTCATATATGTGTTGTGGAATAAATACATCTGTATCAAGAAATAAAAGGTTACACTAATGATCCATGGTATTGTAATTCCCGGCATTTGGAACCCATCCTGGTCAGCTCTGACCTACATACATTCTCGATCCTCCTCTTCCCTGAGGATGCAAGATATTCTAAAGCTATAAACGTTACTTGTACCAATTGGGCACTGGTGTGTGACAGCCTTACCGTACTTCCAATTGAACTTTAGGTAGATATCATTTGTAATCTTTAATACATCATTAAATGTATTTTTTAATTCTTTGGATTTGACCTTTTATCAGCTTATTGAACCCCTGTAAAGCAGGGCTTGGTGTGAGGGAGGAAAAAGCATCACAAGGAGCCAACCAGTCCATGTAATGACAAGAAGCAAAGTGATAGGAGCAGAGTCATAGATAAGCTTATCGCTGTGCTGCTTCTCCTTTCACTGTCCAGTCATAAGCTGGGTCGGGTCCAGGATGTCCTGAGCTCAGGGGAAGTGGGTTGAATGTTGCTGGCCATCAGACTGAGGACATCTAGCAGAAAAACAAAAATTCTGCGGGGGAAATTGAATCTGAATGATGCATCAAAAGCTGGTTTTGTTTTCTTCATCTTTTAATGGGTTATCCATTCATATCTTACTATTTTTGGCTGGTGTTCTGCTAAAGATGGAAACTGAATACATGCTGCAGGAGAAGGAGGCTGGGGACATATGGACATGTTACATGAGACTGCACTGCTATTACAGTCCCTTTACCAGGCAGTGTGTTTATTTGTGCTCCCCTAATGGCTGCTAACAATGGGCCTTGTGTGGCCCTCTGGGTACAGGTTGGGTATATGGGCTTTCCCTGCAGGTATTATATACAGCCCATATGGGTATTACCGCTAGTAACAGTGAGCAATAACATGGAAATGTTATTTTCTGCATTCGACAACAGCGTCATTAGGCCACAAACAACAGAAATGAACTATTACACTAAACCTGAATGTAGTCTGAAAGAAAGAAGTTGAACTTTTGTTCCTGCATTGTTCACATTGTTTATTCCCATTCTTTCTAAGCTATCTGTCTGCAAATGCTCAGCATGTCAGTAACAGCTGGAAGTGAGCAAAGGTGCCTCATCCATATGTTAAGCTTCCAGCAATGATCTGTTATAGCATGAAAGCATGAGCCACTGCCTTCAAAAACAATACTGTTCGCTGATTACTCCCCATGTCCACAAAGATTTCAATATTCTAGTGTACGCTTTGCTGGTTACAGTCACAGTGCAGATTATCAGTTTCCAGCTGTCACTGTGTTCCCCTTTCTACAAGTTAATGCCATCAGATATAGAATGCCAAGACAAACCACAGCTAGATGAAATCACATATTGGCTTCTGTGGGCCCAATACTATAACATCAGTTTTAGTCAATCTCTAATATGCTATCCAGTTTAATAAACCATGAGGGGAAACAGAAAAGGCTTTGTTCTTGTTTTTCTGTGGCACTTTCAATTGTAATCGTAGCATATCACATCACCGGGCACCTGTAGCTACTGTCAGCAAGCTTAAAGCAGACCTAAAGTCTGTTTTACATTTAGCTGCCTTCCTTCCCGTTGCTGCTGAAGATAGAAATACTTGCCGCTAACCAGGTTTGAGGCCCTTTAATGACTTCTTCCTTACCAATTTCTCCATACAGATGCAGCTCTGAGCAGGAACTGTGAGGAAAAGGTTCCTGCCTGAGGAGACAATCAGTTCCCCTGCCTTGCACATGTCAGCTTCCTGGTGGGCTCGGCACGTGGAGATGCGAACACGCCCGAGCGCATCCTTACTAGTCCCCACCAAGGGGAAGGGACAGACTTTACTTTTGGTCTAAATGGGGCTCTAGCAAAACTTAGTAGCCTCCCAAATCCCAACATTTCAGAAAGTCAAGCACCAGCACCTTTAAACCACATTCCACAGGATGCAGGAGGGACATGGTGATGCTGGACATATCAAAACATGGTCACAGACAACATCTAGCTACATGCTATTACGTGCTTCCTCTTTACTCACTGCATCCTTTTATTTCAGTTAAAGTCATTGTCCGAGACATGCAGTTCTATGGTCAGATCAGACCTAAACTAATTTACTCAACGCCATTCACTGTTGTGTTGGCCAAAGACTGGCAGATATTACTGAGACCTTTGAGTGGGGAGATATCTGGCCATCTTCATTGAAGTCAAATGTCCACCAGGGACACTGATAATTGCCTGACAGTGACAGCAACATATCTGCAGCACTTCTCAAAGTAAAGGATTAAGACAAACAAAAATCTCACTGTGTGATAACAAGAGTCTCTGACTGCTGGAGACCATCTACCACATCAGAAACGGCCCGACAGACACAAGCGACACTCGAGATCAGCAGCTTTCTGTCAATAGCCAGCTTCCATGTAACTACTCTGTAGGTCCATGGTTCTCAACTGGTGGGTCGTGCCCCAAACGTGGGTAGCGACCCCATGTTCAATGGGTCGCCGGATGCCTTCCACTGCACTAGGGGAGAAGCTCCTCAGCCTCCCCCATAGAGCAGCACTGTCAGTTCTTGTGCCCAGCAGCCATTCAAAATATGCTGCCTGGCATCGAGCAACAGTGTGAGGTGGGGGTGGGGGTAAGGCCACGAGGGAGCTCCATCCATACGTGTATTGCTTACAGCTCCCTCGCGTGACGTCACATTCAGCATCTCTACAGGGAGTGCAAGGGAACTGTACAAGCAATGTACGATAAAGCTCCATCACAGCACAGCAGCCCACACTGAACCCCTAAACGTTTTTGGGAGTGTGTATGTATGTGAGAATGTCTGTGAGTGTGCGAGATTGTGTCTGTGGTTGTGTGTGTCTGTCAGTGTTTTAATCTCAAACTACCATGCAATTGCACCTACTGTTCATTCTGGTACGAGCGTTGCATTGCCATTCATTTAAATGGCACCGCAAACACACCTCCCGCCCACAGTTTGATCGGTTGCATTCCAGTGTGGTGCGACTTGGGTCACGACTTAATGATCAAGGACAAATGTGGGCCCTCAGGTAATACAGGTTGAGAACCACTGCTGTAGATGATCTTGCTGAAGTTGCTTAGCAAAGACACAGACTGCACACACAGACATCACTATATGGAGCATCAAAAAGATTGTATAAAAATTCCTATCATGAAAATACATATATATATCTGTTATATGTTAGGAGAGCTGGATCTCAGAAGTGTTCAAATGAATAGGAAGCCTCTATGTAGCCTTTCTGACACGTGCATGTAGTGTGAACAGCACAGAGTGCCAGATGAATGGTAAAAATCCAAACAAATTTATTACTCAGAATATTCAGAAACAACTCAACATGTTTCTGAGATTTTAAAGGGTCTAAAATGGCAAAAAGGATACCTGGACTACAATACTTTGGAATCTGCTATGATCGCCCCGATAGCTGGCATAGCAATAATTAAAAAGGAGCACTCACTGAAAACACAATACAGTCTCCCTTTAAACATGTTTTCTTACCTTTTCAGAGGCATGTCTGATAACCTGGACTGGCAGTTCATAAAAACACGCAAGTTCATATTTATGATTTGTTTCAAAACCTGAAATATGGAACACCAGAATTTAGAACATTGTCAGAGGATTGGGCTATAGTTTTACCTAAAAAGAAAAGTCATTCCTATAATAATAATAATGGATAACTGAAGTGTACATACCAACAATAATGGAGCAAGCCTCTGTGCCGCTTTTGTCACAGGATCCACAATGGCTACAACTTCAAAGTACATAATGCCTTCTTTGGGTCTCATCCTAATGGCACTGGAAAGAAAATGTGCAATGCTGGATTTCAATACAGTAGTGCAGATAAACGTAGAGGAAAGTAGTTAGTCATGGTATAGTGTTCCCCAAAGTGTAATGTAACGTGCCTGGTTTTCCTCCTTATACCTTGTGGTACAAAGTAACACTTTTTGTCTAACCAGAACCAGATGAACCCAGAGCAGAGGATGCTTCCAGTATCAGGATACATCACTGTGCTCCTTTCTTTTCCTGTTCAGACTGAGCATGATTTCTATTGCATAATAAGCCTACTGCAGGAATAGTTATCTGAAACTAAAGAGTGATTGGCGATTTAAAGCAAATCTGACGTCCCTATTAAACGTTTAAAAGTTAACATTCTAAAACCAGTTGCTTGCCTTTACCCTTATCTCTCAGAACCACCCAGAAACCTTTTTCCCTACTAAAAACTGTTTACAAGGGGCTGTGCTAAGTGCAGACCTCTAAATGAGACCTAACTAGTTTAAGCAGAAAATGTCTGATAATTATATACATCCTCGTAATCTACTACAGCCACTGGAACACTATTATAATTATTGAGTTTAGAGAATCAGATACTGTTAAACAATTACTTTGAAGATGATTCTTTACTTTCCACGTCTGCCCCATGGGCCATTGCCTTTACTAGTCCATGGCTTGGCTTAAAGTGACACTAAGCTCAGGAGTTAAATCTTAAAAATGCATTCATGTACCTTAACTATTAACAAATATTTATATTATTTGTGTATCACTTGGCTGTAGATCCTCAAATCATCTCTGAATTGGTGCTGACACTGTCCTTCCTTCTGGAGGGTGGCTACTTTTATTCCCCATGGTCCCTGTGTGTGTTGTAAAGTAGAAACTGCTCCCAGCTCACTCCTGTGATGGACTACAATCTCAATACAAATTAGTAAATTAAATGTGAAATTGTAGTCCATCACAGGAGCGAACTTGGAGTGGTGACTACCTTACAACACACACAGGGACTATGGGGAACAAAAGTAGCCACCCTCCAGAAGGAAGGACAGTGTCAGCACCAATTCAGAGATGATTTGAGGATCTAGAATGATACACAAATAAGATACATTTTTCTTAATAGTTAAAGGAGAACTATGGGGTTAGGGCTTTTCCCCATAGTTCTCCTTAGGGTAACGGGAGGACACAAACTAGCGTCCTCCCGTCACCCTAGGCTCAGTATACTGAGAGCTGTAGTTTGCGGTATACTGAGACGCCGCAGCAGAAGCGGATCCCGACAATTGTGCCGGGATCCGCCCAGCTGCGTGACTGACAGCTGGCTCTGCCTATCTAGAGGCAGAGCCAGCTGTACCCGCCCCCTCCCCAGTCCGTTCCGCCAGTCAGCGCTGGCGAATCGGAGCGGGGAATCCAGCCCATCCCCTAGAGAGCCGTGACAGGATCGAGAGGTGAGCGAACGCCGGTATGTGTTCGCTCACCTCCCGATCTACTGAGCCGACCTGTGACAGTCTCATTGTCACAGGTCGGCTAGAACTATGAGGTGAGTGAAAAGCACTTACCTCATAGTTCTCCTTTAAGGTACTTGAATGCATTTGTAAGGTTTAACTCCTGAGTTTAATGTCACTTCAAAGTCCCTGGAGCCTCTCTCCCTTTCCATTGCAGTATCACCATCTATAAAATGTGTGTAGACGTGAGGATGCTGAAAAACATTCCAATGCTGCAGCGTAGGTGGAAAGAGGCTTTAGGGACCATAGTAGCAGGCTGCCCGTTCCCCAGTTTGGGTGAATATAAAAAAAAATTTTGCACTTATACAAAAGCAAGCACTTAACCCATGTAGTGTGGAGGTATCCCCACTGCAAGTGTTAAGTACACTCTTTCCCGGAGTTCTTCTTTAATTATACGTACCAACGTTTTTTTCTCAAACCTGCCTAACCAATGTGTCCTTTTCTCTCCCCTATTCCATGCCAATCCTTACCAATTTCCTTTTTTTAACCATATATGCTTTGTTATACTCCCTTCCATACTTGTTATGTGCCAAAGTATACAAAATGCTGTAACACTGTTTTTTTTTCTTAAAGCTCAAAAAACGTATTTGACAAATAAAAACATTACATATAAATGCGCACAAATACTCAGTAATATCTTACTGATCAACAACTCCTCACCTGTGCTGATCTTCACTCAGCAGGTAATCACTTCTCCCTTCACCTTTTGGTTGAGAGGATAAAATAGAATCCACCCTCATGACCAAATCACTGGCACTACAAAGAAAATACAAGACAAGAGTTAATACAATGCAATAATAATACCGTAATACCTTGGTTTACGAGCATAATTAGTTCCGGAAGCATGCTTGTAATCCAAAGCGCTTGTATATCAAAGCGAATTTCCCCATAGGAAATAATGGAAATTCAGATGATTCGTTCCACAACCCAAAAATATTCATATAAAAATGATTACAATACTGTACTGTAATATAATACTGTACAAAATATAAAGAACAATAAACCAATTACAGGTACCTTCGTGGCTGGTGTGAGGGAGACAAGAGAGAGGAGGATTATTGTGTAGGACGACTTTCACTATCACTAATGGAATCACTGCTATCTCTTGGCTCAATGGAATCTTTTTCATTTCGTGAAACCTTAACAAGGAATCTATCCAATGACACTTGCTGTTGGCTCCTTTTGAGGATTTTGCGGAAATGTGACATTGCATTGTCGTTAAACAGATTCATCGCTCGCACTGCTACAGCCTTATTTGGGTGGTGCTTTTCTACAACCTGCTCGTATTGCAAGACATCGCTCGTATATCAAGGCAAAATTGTTCAGAAATGTTTGCTCGTCTTGCAAAACACTTGCAAACCAAGTTACTTGTAAACTAAGGTATTACTGTACTACAATACAATACTAATGTACACAGGTGCATGAAGTGGTTGAGACTCAGAAATAAAAAATTCAGATTTCTAGAACTACTGTACTCACACACTCACAGTTATAGACCTGGGTACTAACAAAAGCAGAAGTAGATAAACTAAAGTGATGAGAAAAAAGGGTTTAAAAGGTGGATTTTTTTTAGAGGGATTCCAAGAGGATGCTAATAAAAGGAGAAATCGAGGAGCAGAAATGACACAACAGCTACTTTAGCAGATACTAAGATATGCCTAGCATTCTAAGTGGCTTATTAATGCCATAACGATAGAAGAAAGAATTCTGCAGAAGATTTTTGAGGGAACGGTACCAAGGCAAAGACAAGCGTGTACTAAACAAAAACTTACTGATCTTCCTCCACTCCTAGCTTCAGGATGTGGGATTTGATCTTCTGTGCAGAGGTCTTTAAAAGAAGGTTCTCCAGGAGATGGAAGTCGTCTTGGTTAAACATTTCTTCTTCCTTCAGGGGTCCAATCACCTGCAACAAAAAGACAAGGACGTCATGACTTCATGGCTGGTATTGCTTACACTGGAGGTAACTAAAGCAATGTTTAATAATATTTGTAGAGTCAATTGGCGCATCAGTGATATTAGGTTAGAACAGAATCCACTAGGTTGAGTTGTGCCTGGTTTCCTAAAGCTCAGGGCAATGGGGCTCAGACATGGGATTTAAATATTTTTATATTTCTTCTTTTTCTTATATTTACAATGTTTTTCATTCAATCATTCAACTCTGATTCCCGCGTCATTTCTCTTGTAAAAAAAATGTATAAATAGCGATGCACCGATACTGGGGAGTGTCATTTCCCGCCCCCCGGCTTCCTGATTGGCCAGGAAGCCAGCTCCATGCTCCAATCAGGAAGCCAGGCGGCATGTAATGACTCACCGCCCAGCTTTCTGATTCTGGTATCAAGATAGGCATCAGGAGCATTTGGGCAAATACTTGGTATTGGCACCGATACTAGTATTGGTGCATCCCTACCCATAAACTTGAAAACCTAAAGCACAGCATAATACTGCTTAAGAAAGTACATGGCAACGCTTGTCATCCATATATACTTACCCTTCCATTAGCAATAATAACCCGTTCCCCTTTCTTTAGCTTCAGAACATCCCGACAGTATGCAGAATGGGATAGTATAAAATCAACTTTAGGAGTGTCATAGGCTTCTCGGAACAGACCGACATCCATCCCCTGATAAGCAGGAAAAAAAAGTCAAAGTACAGCTATACCACATGTAGCAAAAGTCTAAGAAATCTTTTTCACTAAAGCTGGTCATGCATGTAAAGCTTTCACTCGTTCAGCCAGCTGGACTCATTTGATTCCCTTATTTACTCTAAAAAGTGTTGATGGACTGATCTTCTCTGTGAGCTATTGTATTGTGACAGCTGAATGGTGGCAGTCACTGTCCGCCTTTTTTCCACCCGATTTTTCAAAGTTTGTTTAGCTGCATAGCATTAGTAATGGCATTTTGGCTGATTCACACGAATTGGCCACAATTTATGGCATGTATGGCCAGTTTAAGTCTTTATGTCCCAAACTATGTTCCAGTGTATACCACCATTACAACCCTTGCAGGGTCCCAGTACCACTTCTGTTATTAAAAGGTCCGACCACCCAACAAATGCTTTTATCTCTCTCTGCTTCAGCTGTTTGAGTTCCTGGATCTGCACAGTTGCTGTTCGGTTTATGCACAGTGAGGGGTTTACGCTCTTCCGGTTACTTTTTTATATGTATTTTGTGTAACAGTAAAGGCAATAGAAATTGCTGGAAGAAAAATGGGGAATGAATAACCAAAACAGGAACAGAGTTGGGTAAATATGGCAGGGACATAGGTGGTTATGCATAGTGTGATTTTACCACTTCAAGCACTTCTAATGATAACGGCAATGAAGGCAATCGGATGATACAGGAGATTTTTGTTGACCCTTTTCACAGTGCAAGAACCAAACCCGACAAAGCTCTGCATCTGTAGTATTGGTATGGCAGTAACCAAAACTTGGTAGTTTTCTTTCACGATGGCAGAACTTCCCTGTCAACTATAAGTTACTGTATCATACAGCTGACCTAAAAGCTACAACATTTAAAGGTTTTTTATAATTATAATTTTTTATAATTATCTTTACATACAGGAGGGTCATCCGTAGGTTCTAATAGTACTGAACATACATTAGGATGGTCAAGATAATAGTGATGAACACATTACTCAATTACAAATTAGCCACACAGCCTTTTTACCCCAACAGCAAACTCAGTGATGTCCTGGCCAGCCTCCAGCGCTCGGGCATTCTCTTCTTTGATGATTTTGGTGATGAAGTTCTTGGCGTGGTTGGAGCTTTGTGTTTGGAGAGCTGTCCAGATGGCTTTGCCAATACGGGTGGTCTTAGAAGAGGGATGCTCGCTGGGATTATTGATCATGCCAAGTCGGACATTGTTACTTGTTTTCTGGAGGAAATAGGAAAAAGGAACACCGACATAGCAATAATCTCACACAATTGGATTACCTTTAAAGAAATCAGAACCCTTCTCCCCTTCTGCAGATGTATTCTTAGCAATCTGGTGCCCGGGACATCCCACATTTGTTTGCATCCAGAGCCACAGACTTCCCAATGTTGATTTTTATGTGGCTCATCTGCCTCTGCCTCCCAGCTGGGAGATGCAGGCAGATGAGTCCCATAGATTTCTGCCTCCAGCATTTCCCCAGTTTCTAGTCCTTTAGACTTCAAACTTTCATTCATTGTCATTTTCAGACTCAGATTTGAATTTGACCAGCTACTGTAGTACTTACACCAGCTACTGTAGAACTTAGAATTTGCACAACTTTGAATTTGCACAAAAATAGTAAATGCTAAAAAATGCTGGTGCCAGGGAGGTCAGGACACACTCCATCTGCCAGAAGAGCAATCAGAAGAATAGAAAATAAGCCGCTAATGACTGTGGCATATCGCTGAAAATGATTAAAAGGTTGGGGGCTGTGATTAGTGTAAAAAGTGAGCTGGATGGGATTTACAGAATACAGCCCTGGCCTAAATTTTAAGTTACTCTGTCAGTATGAGTTCTAGGAAAAGCAATATTTCCCTAATTCTGTAAATGGGGTTCATGTACAAAACAGTACGATATACTCTCAACTGTATTCAGAATAAAAACCCTTAGGGTAGATGACAGCCCCAACACCACATCCCCCTCCCAGTTTCCTTTGCCAATTGCTTAGAAGTTGTCCCTTGAATTTAAAAGGGATCCTCTAGAGCTCCTCTTTAAAATCTAAAAGCAATATATACTGTGTGTGTGTATATGTATATATATATATATATATACACATACATATACACACACACACATATCTATATATATATATTATATTTATAAAAACCTAGCCAAAGCACACTCTGTGTGTACCCCTACTGTATGTATGGTAGTAACCTGCTCCTTAAATGTCTCATTGATTTGTGTATTTACCTGGTGTTTAATTGCATCATACAAAAGTTGTCGCCCGGATGGCTTGTCAAAATCCCCAACAATCCAGTATGTGACAGGTCTCACAAAAGAATCATCTGCAACAATTACAGTAAACAAGACAGCGTTAACTATTTAATTCTTTATACCAATAAAGGTAATAGGCATGTCAATTTCATGTTCAAAAGCCCTAAGCAACATGGCAGAGCTTTGACTCTTATTATTTTTTCATTAACTACTATGGTTATTAAGTGAGTTGGCTCATTCCACAGGAACTGAAATGTATACAGCAATGTTATAATTGAGCTGTATCTGAACTGCTTTTTTCACCGATACAAGTCAATGTAAACACAAACAAAGCACGTCAGAAGGAAGTTAAGAGGCAATCACAGGCAAATCAAACTAGTCTCAAATGCAAAGCTGTATTTACACTCTTCCATCTTTAGATACGTATGTTTTCCATGGATTTTAAACATGCATTGTAATAACCTGTCTTTCAACCGCACATGAAATAATGTGCAGAACATAGGTGTGTAAGCTGCAACACATGTGCTTTTATGTGTTTCCATTCATTTCTAAGAAGATGCATTTATTAAAATGCAAATGGCATTTCTCATGGCTGGTTTCCTGACAGTGAAAAGAATAGTCCATGCCTGTGTCATGTGTGTCGAAAACCACCATTTGTAATCTCCATGTGAAGCCCTTGTGACAGGGTGACAACAGAGCGTGCTATCCCATAGACCACCAGGGATGACTGATCAATGACCAGGTGTACCAGCATATTCATACCTACTTAGGCAACAATGCATATCCTTTAAGTGTGCTGTAATTTGACATCATTTTGACATATGCAATTGTTTGTGTTGTTTGACAGTTATTCTGGTGGGAATAGGACCTCAGGGGGTGGTGCTATGTTGTTTTTTATGTTTTACTGTTTTTTGCACTGGGTATATACCGTAATGGGGTACAGCACCGTAGGTTACTGATACTTTCTCTGACGAAGGGACCCAGTGAGGTTCAGAAACGTTGCATTTTTTTCACATTATGCTGCAAGAACTTCAATAAAGATGATATTCTGAAACTGAATGGCGTGTGGACAGCATATGTTATATTATAAGGTTACAACACAGGAGCACAATTGGGAGGCCACGACAGAGATTTTCTTTTGCAGGGAAATGTCCTTTTTTTTGTTTCCTGACATCTGACAACGCTGTATTAAATATCAAAGCAAGAATGACAGCTCAGAGCTTCCACCTTCAAAATCCACATAGCAATGAAACCTTCTATACTTCTATCCTGATGACTTAAGGATGCTTGGTAGATTTCTGAAGTTGACTATAGCCAATTCAGTGCCATTTACCAGGCCACTGCTTGGCCAGAGGGCTGCAAATCTGTGCCATGATTACTGTGCCATTAAATTGGTCTGTAACCATATGACATGAATATGCATTGGGATATTGAATAAGGCAGATCATAAAGAGCTTTGCATGAGTGACTATCGAGCAGAAATATGCAGAAGCACAAGCGGCATAACTTAGTGAATGCTGATTACCATAAATTTCCTTGGAGGACATTCCTGGACAAGACAGAAAGTGAGACATAAGAGAAGAGAGAAAAACATAATCAATGCAACAGAAAAAAAGCAAATATCTGCATCATACACAGATAAGGAGAGAAAAGCACACCAAACATGCAAGAGCAGATAAACACTGCATAGTAACTATTCTAAACTTGAATACAATATAGTGCAATATAGTACAGGAACCCCAAGAACAAGACAAGCACTGTATAAAATACCCCACACAAAGTACCGACCACTCTGCAAGTGTCTCTGGTCTGCTCTCCTTCACAGTAACAAATGGCTGTGAAATCTGATGACAATCTGTAACCAATTTGATCCACTTTTGTTATAGAAAACATCCCTTATTAAAATACTAAACCAAGTATGTAAGTAATACCACCTAAGTGCTGGGTAACAGACAACATACTGTTATCTGGCACATGGTACCTGTTTCACAATACACAACCAGATTTTCTCTCGTCAGCCCATGGGCTGAATGAGAGAAAATCAATGGACTTCCCCACCAATGCTAAACAGCATGAATGGAGGAATCTCCGTTGCTCTTTATCGTATTCATGCAGTTGCAACACCTGCAACTGCCTCAATACCTACACAATGACTGCATCTGATTGGATGCAGTCAGTGTTTGGCTGAATTTGTTTTACTCTACTCAATTTTTAAATTGACGTGGCTTGAATTTCAGCTGATTCAGCAGGAATTGGACAAAAGTTAGGCCATGTATGGCTAGCTTTAGACATATTCCTCTACTACTGTCACTAGACTCCACAAACTTTCCTATGCAAATACAGATTTACTGAAGGTCAGTATGTGCGTTAGGTTTGTAAAGGTTAGGGTGTCCCCCACAAACTGACGGCCCTGAGGCCATGTCTTGAGAGCTGCCCTATGGGATGGAGGTACCTTAGACGGTAAATTTGTTACAAACCCAGTCGGGATCTTATGCCGCTTGTTACACAATACTCTTGGCCTCTCTCATATGCCTGGAGGGAGCCCACTCCTCCTTAAAGGCACAGGGACGCACTGGAGGCCCAGCATTTCAAAATTGTGCAGTTGCCATGTATGTTTAGCTTGGTTGGATTGACGCCTCAAGTGGCCTCCCTCCAGGCATGACTGCATTCAATTTATCTCCTGCTAAATATGCTCCAATATGGAGGATCTCAAAAATTAGAGTTAGGACCACACTACACAGAGGGGCCTTGACGAGGCAGTGTGGCTTCCACATATTTTGAAAAAGTTGTGCAAATAAAAAAAATTGTTTTTAACGCAAATTGTTAGACAATGTAGTTTGTTTTGTTGCAGGCTAGCTGGTAAGTGTGCTAGGAAACTTTTGTTTTTGTATTAAAGAGAACCTGCAAGGATAGAAATATAGGAGCTGCCATTTCTGAATGGTCTTCGAAGGTGTATGAGCCATGGCTTCCTCCTTCCACACTTGAATGAGTCTTTAACTTGGAACTATCATGTACATGTTGGAGGGGGGGCACCTGCATACTGTATTCTTGTGCCGGGTCAATAAATCAGTAAGCAGTGAAGCAAGGATAATAGGATTTTTGTACTCACCGTAAAATCCTTTTCTCTCCGTTCATTGAAGGACACAGGCAACAGATCGTAGATCCTACCCCTGACAGCGCGGAGACCATTTCACGTTTCTGGATTATGGAGCGTAGACGCAGCCTCATCCTCACTGGCCGAAACAGGATGTGAGGAATCACCCGGATCAATGATCACCCTGTAGCAGGCAGCTCCTAAAACAAGTCAGTGGGCACAGCCCATATACTTCTATCCTGACAAATTCCCCGTAAAAGTCTGCACACGTAATATGTAGCATGTGATATAACAACAAATGTTTTACCCTTTTCCCAGTGCACAATCTGTCTGAAATCTTTTAATGAACACACTCCATCACACTGTACACATCAGGTGACTACTGACTTTGCTTACCTTTCTTAGTGAGGTAGTTCATACTATTAGCTACAGCCGCACTCTTATCACTGGAGTCCAGCACACTGAATCTAGCATAATCGTCCACAAAGAAATTATCTACCACAAGGGAAAAAAAGAAAAAACAGTTAGCTGTGAAGTGAATACTGGTTAGCATGGTCAATTTAAACTTGTGGGCCCGCAATACAATAACAATATCATATAAATGAAAGCAAAGCTGCTGATGTGGTCACCGCTGGAAACAAGAGGAAAGCCTTGTTGTGAACTCCTCAGTGAAACCAGCACTTGGAAGTAAGGATGGGCTCGGGCGTGTTCGCAGCTCCACATGCCGAGCCCACCAGGAAGCTGACAGGTAGCAGCGCCAAATCACAGACACGGAGACATTTCCCGATCTCTGCAGCTGCGGACCGGGAAAATGTCTCAATACCTGTCAGCTTCCTGGCGGGCTCGGCACGTGGAGCTGCGAACACGCCCGAGCCCATCATTACTTGCAAGTAGGGATGCACCGATATATCGGCCACCAAAACATATCGTCCGAAAATGGCACTTTTGGCACAATGCCGAAAGTGCCATTTTCCTGCCGATTCATCGGCGCATCCGTGATTTCTTTCCTTCCCCGCTGGGCGCTGCTGTGTGTCCCAGCGGGGAGGAAAGAAACTGTGATAGCCGGCCGAGCGCTGCGGGAGGAGAGCGATGTGAGCAGCCGGTGTCTCCTCCCACACCGCTAAGCCTCCTATCAGAGTGGTGTGTGGGCGGAGACAGGCCACGCTGTGACAGTGTGTCAGAGAGGGGAGCGAGTGCAAACACTCAGTGATCAGTGATCTCTGAGTGTTTGTAGATAATTGAGGATATGGTATGGTTACTGTATCCTCAATTATGAATGAATGGTAAGTGATCTACATCCCCTCCTGTTCATTCATGATTGTGGTTATAGTAAACATACTCTGTTCTCAAGTTATGAATGAACAGGAACACTCAATATGGAGGATTCCTGTTCATTGATAACAGGGGACACAGAAAAAGAGATTGAGGACTCTGTGTCCTTAATCTTTTTTTATATTTTAAAAGGGAAATATCAGGGGTCTGTTTATTTCCCCGAAGACCCTAAAAGTAAAGTAAAAAATAAAAATATTTAATATAAAATTAATTAATAAAAATAAATATTAAAAAAATTTAAAAGTTTCTAAAAAAATAAATAAAAATGAAATATTTAAAACATTTGAAAAATATTTTTTTTAAACATTTTCGGTATCGGTTTTGGCCTGACAATTATTTAAAAAAAAAAAACAATTCATTTCTTTCATTTCGGTTTTAAAATTTCCATTTCGGTGCACCTTTACTTGCAAGCATTGGAAAAACATGCTAAAAAGCATTTCCATGCACCCAGGAAAATCCCTATGGCTGCTCAGCATTCAATCCTTTTTCTTCAAAATGTGCACCCCAGCTTCTTCAGGAGTGTACATGATTTGACAATATTGTTCCTTTTTCTCTGCAGAATGGGAACAGTAAAAAATCTGTGTGTGGAACAGTGAGTGTTTCTGATGGTCCCAAGCACTCATTACCACCCTCAAGGTTATGTTTAAATAATCATTGCCTGGAACAGAGACCTCCTGCCAGGCTTTTATTGCAGATGAGGAGACTTGCCCTTATATCCCATACCAGTGGCACTGTTCAGCAGACAAGAAGTGAGAAAAAAAATCTCTGCAATGGAAACACGGACATTATATACACGTTTTTTTTTAGTACTGTAAGCAAGTATTAGAAACTTTGCCTCCCCCCATTCCCCCACATGTATAATACTCCAGCCATGCCCCATCTCCACCTCCCCATCTGTCTCAGTTCCAATGTTGACTGGTGTAGGAGCCCAGAGAAGGGGATGACAAGGGCAACCTTCATGGTAAAGTGTTTGTGGCTGGTGATAGGTTGCTCAGGCCTGAGGACTATCACATAGGAGGTCACATGTTTCCTAATATATAGAACTTCCATTAGCAAGGAACTCCAGGAGTGTGAGAGTAAAGGCCCCCATACACCTTGCGATTGTCGTTCGAAAAACAAACGCGATCGGGTTTTTGTACGATAAACAGCCAGTTGATGGGAAGTGAACGATCATAAATACTGTACAACTGTGAGAATTTCGTTGATTGGTCAGGCTGGAAAACTTTTTTCGAATTGTACGAAAATCGATGGATAAGTGTGGCGTTTTCATATGGGGGGAAAAAAAAATCACAGCATAAACAATGCACAAACGAAAATCTGTTCTGTCGATCGCCAAAATTCAGCCAGTTAGTATTGCTAACGAACGATAATCAAAATCTACATTGGTCTGCGCATGATGTGGTATTTAAGCGGAAATCAAACGGGGGTTCAATGACGGGACTAAAGAAATCGAACGATAATTGTAAGGTGTATGGGCACCATAAGCGAGCGTGGCTGGGTAAGTATACATGCTGGGTGTGGGGGACAGGGGGGCACAGATAGCGAAAAAAAGAAATCATAAAAAGAATTTACGGTACTTTAGTCACAAATCTGTACAGTTTTCAATGGACATTAACAGTATGTAACACAGCTGATAAGATGTATGGATAATGTGAATAGTACGAGAGTAAAAGTAAATAAATCAGAATTCACTAGTGTTATAAAGTGCAATTTACAAATGTATATGAATTCCACCATTTTCTAAAAAATAAGTTTCCATATCCACTAAATTGTGTATATTATGCTGAGTTTGCTTAGAATCTAACGCCAGAGCAATAGCCTCTCAGGTTTGGTTTTTTACACTGTATATCCAAGTGCATTAAAGAGCCATATCTGAGATCCAGAATCTGTAAGTATTCTAAGGCAAATGTCATATACCAGACTTAGGCATTGTTCACACCAAGCGCGGAGCAGGTGCAGACCGGATCAAAACTGCACCCAATGTATTCCAATGGTATTTTGGGCTCTAGTTCACATTGCAGCGTGCAGTTCCAAAGCAGGTGAAAAAAATTCAGCAAGCCCTATTTTACCTGCTCTGGAACGCATAAAAAACGCATCCAAAATGCATGCAAGTGCCTGGAACGCACTGAAAGCCCATGTAAAACCTAACCGGATCTGCTCTGCATGTGGTGTGAACAAGGCCTAACAGAACAGCAATCACGGGGTTTTCAAAAAGGCAAAACAATACAGCAAGCAAACGTTATAAAGGCGATTTACTTATTGCAGTCAGGTCCAGGTACCGGCGCTCCACTTCCAGGATCCTCAGATTAATTCGAGGAACAACGTTCGGCTGATTCATTAGATAATCCACAACATCCTGATCATTCGCCAGCTCTCCCTGGGAACAATAACAAGCAATAAATAAACCTGCATTTAAACATGGCTAGATCTGCCATACCAGCACAAATTTGCTATGTTGTCATGCTAAAACATATATGGCACAAATACAGCTGTACTAATAGGTGCAAGATAAGGCTTGCATGCTATGACCATATTTGTTAAATAAAGCCACTGGGAAAATCTAAAGGTATATTATTTTTAAATTCACATCACATGTACTTTTATCAGGGAGGCAAAGTAAGTCCAGCAGAATACAGAAATCCTGCCAGTCAGTAATCAACAAACTTCTAAATGTATTACAATAACAAAAATAGCGAAGAACAAGCATGTCAAATCTAAAAGGTATTGTATCTTGAAATATTGACTCTCTGAAAATACACTGGGGGAAATTTATCAAAACTGGAGCAGACAGAATCTGGAGCAGCTGTACATGGCAACCAATCAGCTTCTCTCTTTCATTTTCAAATCTTAAATGAACAAACTGAAGAGAGAAGCTGATTGGTTACCATGCGCAGCTGCTCCAGATTTTGTCTGCTCCAGTTTTGATAAATTTTCCCCAATATATTTATTCTTTAACAAGACAGCAAAAAAGATAATCAGCAGTTATCAATAGACAGAACAGTGATTTCTGATGTTAGGTGCTATTGACAACTGCCTTAAAGGAGAACTATGAGGTATGTGATTTTCACTCAACCTCATAGTTCGAGCCGACCTGTGACAATGAAACTGTCACACGTCGGCTCTATAGGTCGGGAAGTGAGTGAACGCATACCGTCGCTCTCTCAATTTCCGATCATCTCCCTGCAGAGAGAAGTGACTGTCAGTCACCGATGCCCGCAGGGAACGGACAGGAGAGGGGGCGGGCACAGCTGGCTCAGCCTCTAGATAGGCAGAGCCCGCTGTCACTCACACAGCTGGGAGGATTTTGACAGCATTGTCGGGATCCGTCCCGGCTGCAGCGATCTAGTTATATAGTGAGCAATAGCTCGTGATATACTGATGCTTTGGGTCACGGGAGGAGGTTAGTATATGCCCTTTCTTGGCCCTTAAGAGAACTATGGGATAAAAAGGTTACCCCATAGTTCTCTTTTAAGGCAAGTATAGACATCCTTTCAAGTTCTGAGCAATTTAAATCATGCCCATCAAAACATGGCTGCCTGGAGGGCAATAACTGAAAAGCCCACTACAGGAAGAAAAATCTTATTTTGGTGACTTTATTTGGTAATACCTGTAGTGATGATACTCAGAACTATGCTGTCCATAGTGACATCACTGCAGAAAGAGCAGCACTATCATCCTGTTTAAGGTAGTTGAAGAATAATGGCATGATCAACCGCTGTGTTAATGCAAGTGACAGACTTCAACATTTATGTCATTTTTGATTTTACATCTAGTTCCACTTTAACTACTGCATTAGTTAATAGTTATTAGCTGGTAGCTCAGATGACTCACCAAATAGACAGCTTTCTGGAAGAAGCTTGTTGTCTCGAGAATTTTTTGCATTGTTGCAGTCTCCAGTTCATCAGGATCCAACTGGTCTTTTGAGAATGGTACACCATTGAAGAGAACCACGGGCAGTGGAGACAAGCCTGTCTGTAGGAAGTATTCCTTCCCTTCCTGAAATACAACAGCATAATTCAATGGTACCCAACATACTCTTAAATATAACTATATGTATTATAATGACAGAGACAAACAGCAAATCTCAATACATAAAACAAACATTCACAGATCAGCCATTACATCATGAGCACGCCTGCCCAATATTGAGTAGGTCCCCCTTTTACAACCAAACATGACATGGACTCCACTAAACCTCTGAATGTATGTTGTGGTATCTAGCACTAAGCCATCAGTAGCAGATCCTTTAAGTCCTGTAGGTTGTGAGGTTGGGCCCCCATGGAATGGACTTGTTTTTCCAGCACATTCCACAGATGACCGATTGGATTGAGATCTGGACAATTTGGAGGCCAAGTCAAAACCCTGAATCCGTTGTTGTGTTCCTCAAACCATTCTTGAACGATTTTTGCAGTGTAGCAGGTCACTGCTGAAAGAGACTACTGCCATCAGGGAATACCATTCCTATGAAGGGGTGTACTTAAGCAACAATGTTTAGGTAGGTGGTACGTGCCAAAGTAACATCCACATGAATGGCAGGACCCAAGATTTCCCAACAGAACATTGCTCAAAGCATCACGCTGTGCCAGCTTACCTTCTTTCCATAGTGCATCCTGGTGCCATCTCTTCCCTAGGTAAGCAACACACGTACCCAGCCATCTACATGATGTAAAATGTTTTAAAGGAAAAGTGTGGGGGAGCCAGCTTAAAGCCAGAGTGGGACACAGCAGCTGTCACATGCCGACTCTATACTGAGAGCTGAGTGATCATGTGAAACTGGTGACTTCCTACAATTTCCACATGCTAAAGCCTCTGAAACTTACAGATAATTATGTGCAGAACTAAAAGCACTTCCGGGCATTACACTTGGCCAATGAAAGAGGTCAGAGGACAATAGTCAGACTTGTTCAACTTACAGCATGACCACAAATTCCCAAATAATCGCTCTTTACAACAGCAGAGTGCTGATGGGTATCTTTGAATGCATGATCCTGAAGAAGACTACAACAGCACAGGGACCAGCCAGGATCTGCCAGCTAACAACAAGAAAAATGAGGCCACAGGGAACCTGAATATTGTTGTTGCCCATGATCACCCCTTTATAGGTACCAGCTGTGTATACTGTTCCCTGTGTGAGAACACCATTCTCCTTTCAATAGTTCAACAAGCCCCTGCGTGTCAGGGCTACAGCACTGCAATCAGTAGTTAGCGTGAGCTTTGCTGATAGTAGCGCTGTAGCTTTGACTTGGAGAGAAGGGTCAGCCCACCGCTCTCTCACAAAGAGCAGCGGCCCTTAGCTGCAGGCAAGGGAAAGAATATTTTAGGGCTGCTGGACCTTCTTTAGGTTCCAAAGATACAACAGACAGGCAGCACTTGCCGTTTCACTGCAAGCTACTGTATATGTCCTTTAGCAATTTTCACAGAGACTTCAATTGGGCTTTAAGACACATAAAACACTCGCCATAAATGCAGACACACCATGAAGGGTACCCTCACCTTTCTATACTGGTCATAAGCAGAGTCCTGGCCCAGGATACTGCTCAGTTCCACATAGCGGTACTTTTGTTCCAGCACACTGGTGACATGTTTCACAGTCAGCTTTTCTCCAGCTCGTAACTTGTTGTAGATCTGCAAAACAAAGTACAAAGGGTTACAACACCGACAGAAGACGCTGCTATGCCATGAGCCTACATAGCTTACAATATTCCTAAATATTACCATTATTGCATCATAAATATCCTTAACCAAGAGTTCTTCAACTAGTTTTACACAAATCCATGGGGCTGGATTGTTTCTTAAGTGAACAAGCTCCTATGATCACATAGCAGAGTACAAAGCAGCAATAATGTCTTTTATCGTTAGCTATCAAATGAGTACCAGCTTCCAGCAGTTCAGTATATTAGGATCTGCATGAATAAATACAGGTCTCAGAAGAACTTCCATCTGTCCTTGGTTACTATCAATTGCTGAACATTATTAGTATTTGTTCCAGTCAATAGAGCCCAAGCCCTTTTCACATTTCATTTTTACATATTTGCTGTGCTAACTTCTTTTTCACAATTATGTGAAACTTTCCATTGCTCACGATTCATCACACATCTGTGTCCAGGCCCATCATTTCAAACTTGCCTGGGTCTTATGAATGGAATGGGGCACATTATGGTTAATTTGAATGCTAATTGGAGTCAAAAGTATCTTCAAAATAAAACTTAAATATTTTATTAACCCTTGCAGTGAGGCTACAACCCCAAGTCGTCGTCCTCCCCCTGCACTGCAAGGGTTAACTGCTCACTGTGTCTAGATGCTAAAAAAAATAGTTATACTCACATGAACCGCCAAGAGGACTCCCTGCTTCTCTGGTCACTGAAGTATGTCTCCTCTTCCACTGAACAGATAGAATTCTCCTCAGCATCCTCACATCTATACTCTTGTATAGAACGTGATGACACAAGGATTCTTAGACCACTGCAGAGGAAGGGGAGAGAGGCTCTAGGGATCTGTCTAAGAACAAGCCGGCTCGAATGATCGGATGAGTATAACTCTTTTTTTTTTTAGCACTTAGACACAAAGGAGCAGTTACCCCCTTGCAGTGCCAGGGTAGCCCCACTATAAGGGTTGATAAAATATTTCCCCGGATTTCTTCTTTAACCCCTTCGTGACTGACGACGTACAGTGTACGTCGCCAGCATCGGGGCTGTTTAAACAGACTCCCGATGACTTTTGCCGCCGGGACTCTGTTTAAACTTGTAGAGCCGACTGTCGGCTTTACAACAGAAGCGATCCTGGCGACTTACCAATTTAAGAGATAAAAAGGTAGCAACTAAGAGAAGTTCATTGCTCGCGTTACATGTACAAGAACTTGAGATCCACATACTTCTAATTCCAACAATTATCCATTTACAATAACTATCCCCAGTATTTGTATCAGTCTTTTAATTCTCTCGCCTTTCTCATCTCCCTACAATACATAAAATGTTTGAAAAAGTGACTACACATAATTCAGCTATGGCATGAATGATACATCTGGCAAGGCAGAGGCTAACTGTAAATACTTTATTAGCCAGCTTTCTTTTTATGATCCCATAGGATATGAACTGTGAAGAATAGCATCACCATCTACTATTTCATTTTTATGCTGCTCTTAAAAAAAAGCCTGGGCAGCATATGTGACTGTAATAAGAGCCTTTATTATTGGCAGAAATCATTAGATACCAAGAAATATGTTCACTTTTAAAAGTGCATTAAGCAGAGCAGCAGAATAAAGCTGAAATGTTAGCCATGACTTGACATTAATGTGACTGCATTTCTGCTTGAGAAAAAAAAGAAAAGCTGATTGATGTTCCCCTTCTGCTTCCAGCAACCTACCGATATAACGATCTGAAAAGCATGATAATTATCTTCTTCATCAGCCACATAGTTGAAGGTCCTCAGCAGAGCAACACCTGCGTCCTCAAAGCCATCGACCTCATCGGCGTCATTCACAACGAACACCAAGCCGATCCTGAAATACAGTGCCCTCTACAGGTCAAAATGGAAACTTCAAGTGGATTTCCACTTCTGCAGCCACATCGGGATGACACCTACTTTATATTTGTTACATGTTCTAATTCACATAGCAGGACTCAAAACAAAAATAACAATTGCTGAAGGCAGGGAATGTTACGTATACAATAGTAGACCCAGAGCAGACAGGAGGCAGGGAATGTGACATATACAATAATAGGCCCAGAGCAGACAGGAGGCAGGGAATGTGACATATACAATAGTAGACCCAGAGCAAACAGGAGGTAGGGAATAATACATATACAATAGTAGACCCAGAGCAGAAAGGAGGCAGGGAATGTTACGCATACATTAGTAGACCCAGAGGAGACAGGGGATGTTGCATATACAATAGTAATCCCAGAGCAGATAGGAGGCAGGGAATGTTGCATATACAATAGTAGACCCAGAGCAGACAGGAGGCAGGGAATGTTGCATATACAATAGTAGACCCAGAGCAGACAGGAGGCAGGGAATAATACATATACAATAGTAGACCCAGAGCAGACAGGAGGCAGGGAATAATACATATACAATAGTAGACCCAGAGCAGACAGGAGGCAGGGAATAATACATATACAATAGTAGACCCAGAGCAGACAGGAGACTGAGAATGTCACACATACACTCGTAGACCCACAGCAGAAATGAGGCAGTAAATGAAAACATATATTTGTAGTCCCAGAGCAGAAATGAGGCAGGACATGAGTGTCACAAAGCCTGCAGAACTGCATTGGCACATTAACACTATACAGTCTATACAAAACCTTGGGTGAGCTCTTTACCTCACAGGTATGTGGTTACTCAGGAGCATTTCTGCCATGTTGATCAGGTCAGAGGTAGATTCTTGCACTGGGTCAATAAACAGAACCTAAAGGGAGATAAGAATGAACAAAACCAAGTCAATTTACCGTCTGTCATATAACTATAACCAAATGTAAAACAAAACCAATCAGACCGAAGACCAAATCTTAAACCATCTGCTGGAATTTAAAACAGAAGAAATGATAAGTGACCACCCCACCCTCATATACAATATATATATAACAAAATGATAAAAATTGAGCTTTATAATACTCAGTCATCATACACAAAACAATGCTTTGAGCTCAGTCATGAATCAGCAGTCTAAGCAGGTGAAGAACAGAATGAGACGTCTGACAAAGACACATCTGGCATTCCCCAAATCCACACCAGCTGATATTATAGAGCAAAATGTCTAGGTATATCATCACATCGGTGATCACTCTGGGAGCCCAGTACAGTGTATCATTCAGTATAAGCAAGTACTGTAAATATTTTCTCATAAT